GTACGTAGTGATCAATGAGATCCCCATGGAACAGTACCGAAATGTCGAAATGCCTGGGCAGCTCCCCTATCAGGCGCACTAACCTGTGGGTATTCAGCTGCCTACTGCGCCTGGAAGCACACAATTCGCACAGTCCCCACTGAACAATCCCCATGAACATATGCAAGTGCGGCCGTCGTTATGTTTTCAATCATCGCCTGAAGGAGGCGGAGCCTAGGGGAACAAATACCACTTGGCGACAGAATGGAAGAATTTAACTACAAATACAAATACAAGTAGTGATAGCGCAAGGAATACTTGGGATGATATTGCAAGTTCATGTAGCTTCGCGCTGTATCAATTCCAAATGTTGTCTGAGGGCAGGGCGATTCCTTTGAGCTGTTTCGAGAAACTTGGAATATGAAAGGAGGCAACAGCCAGAGGCAATGCATTGGTGGGCGTCACGTTAATTCCACCAGATTCTCATTCCCATGGCATTACTTGCTTCTAAACTTGCTCTCTATCACCGCACTATCATGCAAGCAGCAACCTTGACCACACCTCCCTCTCTCGCTTGTGCAAATGCTCTCACAATGTCAAGCTCACAGATGCGCGAACGACGTTTATGCGTGAACATTTCGATACTAACTGTGGGTTTGTGGTTTACAACTGTCAGCATGGTAAATCTGGGGGCTCCGCTCATGTGCCCTGGCGTGCAAGTGCCACCGGCTATTACCGGTCAAATACACCCATTGCGGAAAGCAAGTCGTGCTCATCCACCCTCCCACGAGTGTGCGCCAGATAGTCCTCGAGCCGATCCTCCTCCCATGGCTCCCCTCCGATATTGCGCAGGAGCCAGACGGCCCTGTGCGCGTTGACGGCCCCATCGGGGCCGTACATGTCCAGCACGGCCAGAAGCGCCTCCAGGTCCAAGGCGTCGACGACTTGTGGGAGCAGTCGGATCAGGTCTATCTTTTTCCGGCGGATGGGGTCCAGCTGGGCGGCCAGGTGCTTCAATTCTGGCGGAATGCTGACCTGGGAAGTCTGCGAGGATGGAGCAGCCCACTTCGTTACATTTGCGCACAATGGAAGGGACCTCAGTGAATGGATTGCAAGCCAGCGCGGGTGGGATGTGCATGGCGTACGTTCGCGCGACAACTGAAGCGATTGGGTGCATATCTCGGATGTGCCTTTTTGATTATATTCACCCATTCAGAAGCGTTTGCCATCATCGAGTAGTTTCAATTTAAGGTCTTTCAAGGGATGGTGAAGGGCTAAATGGCGACATCAGGCTTTAGCCTTAACAATGGAAGTGGCCACTTACCTAAACATAGTTAAGGGCATACATCTATAAGGACTACGAACTCTCAAAACCCCTTTGCATCTGTTGTGGGTGGGACTCATGCAAGAAGATGTCTGGAGAATGGCTTCCCAAGTTGTTGGGCCCCTCCTCATATTCTCAATAAATAGACCCAACTTTCAGACCGACATACAGGAGGCAAATCGGAACAGATAATCTCTTGACGTGGATATGTGCAGTGAAATCTATGTGTGCCATATGCCGACCGGCGAGGGGATGGATGTAGTGGGCGTGGACACTCAGCGTCCAATTCCATGGGTTGTAGTTACCGAAGTGGCTACGTAAGCACAAGCTATTCCACGTTTCAATCGACTACAGTTGCCAAAATAAACAATATCGCATTCTGTATGTGTGCTTTGTGTCTGTTCTATTCCTTTCTGCGATTGCTCTGATACACATGTTGAGCGCAGATGAAGCAGAATCAAACCCCGCATTTTTGTGAAGGCAATTATATTCTTCTTTGTGTTCATGACTGCGGACACTATCAACAATCTCAAGCACTTGTATTGAAGAATATTTGAGCAATAATTTTGCTATCGGGGTCTTGAAATGCATGGGATTCGAGTCAAATTTCTTGGCATATCGCCTCAACAAAATTTTTTAGATTTAGACCCAAGTCGACTCAAAGATCCGCGTCAGTTCATTTCAGGTTTTGATGAGATACTGACCGTCATTTTCTTCTCTTATTCAAATGTTACATGCACGGAGCATGCATGCGCTCTTCGTGCATGTGATACTAGTGTACGCTAGTGTGCAATTCTAATTAAAATGAAATGACGCCATTACGTGCAGGCAACAGCAATTTCCTTCCACGGCGCCAACAATAAAGGAAGAATTTTTATCATATGACTCACGTGTTCAACCAATTTTCCCTGTTCTTCCACTTGAATATGGTCGAACGTTAGTGGCGAGCTGAGGCCGGTGTCCTTGGTGTCCAACTTCCCTGACAAAAATGTCTTTTTTGCGATGGTTCCGTCCAGCTGCAACAACGCGGGTTGGTGATTCAATTGCTCATCCACCACACTAGCGCACTCGAAGTCCGTTCACATTGATATCTTGATGAAGGCCTTTTCAAATCCATCGGGGCGTACAACATGTTAACTTGTCTACATCATGACTCCAATTCTATTATGGCGGGCACTGCCCTCTTAATGTTCGCCATCTCAAATGAAGACAATTTCCATACATTTTTGCTTCCCATGCACTCCTGCATTAGAATACACGATTCCCGTTGGTACCATTACCTGACAGAGATTTTTGCGTATGCATTGGGGTAGTGCGCATTTATTGTTTTAACACCGACCAATGTCTTGAAACTTAAGCAAAAATACGGCTGCCGCATACAAGGATTTTCTCTATTGAGATATGACAGAACAGTGCTATCACATCATTTTGAATTTAGTTCAACTTGCGTGGACCCAACAATGCGATGTCGTCATAAGCACCCGCTGCACAACTCGTGAACAAATAACATAATTCAAAATAAATGTAATCGAAAACAAGCTCCTTTACTGAATTCGCATCCATTTGTTATATAAAATTTCAGTGCAGTTTGACCAGGAAACAATGCGGCTATTGGTGGCAAATATTCACAATGCTAGCATGGCTGATATAGGCGAAAGAGTAAAAAATCCATGCAGTGTTTTCTTTTGTGTGTGATACCTTAATTGTTTCAAAGTTCAACGCAACACTTCACCTTCGGAAACCACCAAATTCCCCCAGATGCATATCCTATGTAGTTTCGCTTGTCCTCTGCGTGTTCTGGTTCTTTGCGCGGTGAGACGAGGTGCTGGGGATTGTGGCTGATTGGACAGATTGGTGTGATGTAGCGAGGCTGGACAAGAACAATGGGCATATAACTATCAGCAACCTGTCCAGAAGTGTACCTTAGGAAGCATCATATTTGAGTTCACAAAGAATTTGCTGCATTATCATAATATGGGGCCTCATCTTCTCTGGTAAATTCATTGCTGTGGCTCAGCTTTACTTGAACTCTGATTGGCACATTTTGGAAAGTTGCACAATGCAGCGTATTGGATAACTACAAGCACAGCACTTCACTTGTCCACATCGACGCATCCCCATTCAAAATGCCATGCTGAGAATTATCTGCACTGAAGATAAGCCCAATCCTGTAAATTTGCTGCCGGGTAGTGCCTTGGACTTCCTGACGTTAGTCATTTCAATTTCGCACAAGCGTATATATGTATAGTTGCACAATTGCAATTGCAATCGCTTATAAATGCCTCAAATGATCCTAAAGATGCAAATGGGTACCTCAATGTGCTCATCTAGAAGGACGTAGAGATATAAGAGATTTTGCTTTTCGAATTCAGAATTTTTTGCATGCATTTCCCAATCTAGCCAACTTTGGCTGTGCAATAGCTCAAAACGAAATGCACAGGTAGTTTGATGTTGCGAGAATTGATAATTTATTTGGCAACAATTTGTCAATTGAATGAAAATATTCGAAGGCAATTTCCAAGGATGCTGTGAAATTCTCTTCGCATGTAGTACGTTTAATTGAGCACGCCAAGAGCCCATTAATTGTGTATTTGGCTGTTTGAAGTCGCATGGCACTCACTTTAAATGTAGGTGAGGTGTTCCTTACCTTCTGGGTCTCGAATCCAGAACTAGCGATGAGGGGTTCCTGCAAAAGGATCGGGCCATTTATTCATTGAAATTTCAGATCCATCTATTGTAAATCGAATGCAAGCCGAATAACTCTCATGCATCTGCGATGCGGTCTTTCATAACATAGAGGATTATGAAGCGAAACATCCAAATTTGGGACAATGCGTGCCATTTTTAGATAGGTTCATTTATCCTATGAGCTTTTCTGCGTAAATTTTTTCAGTGAACATATGATCGCCATTCCTTCCAATTTCATGTAGAAGGGGTAGATTGGAGAGATACTTACTCTCTTCGTATGGAAGTACCCAAGGCACACATGGTAACCGTGTTCGTCCTGCCCGTGGCGTTTTCCATCCCCGCCCTCAAAGTACGCCGCGCCATATATCACTGCCTTGGGGCCGCCCAAAAAGCAAACCTGATGGAAGAATAAACTGTTGTGGCGATGCTACATTCCAAGACATGAAAGTTTCTGCTGTGCTTGAACCGAAAATTCGTGTCTAATGCGAGATTGTGTTGACAGTACACAACGTGTCACCATTTTCATACTCAATTTCTCCAGTATCTTCAGTTTATGACCTCTTTGTGTTGTTTAAGGTAATCTCGAGACGACTTGAGTATGCACTGATTATCACAATGGTAATAATTCCGTGCAAAAGCTCATGCCTGCGTACTTTGCGCTATTGGTGCACCATACCATACAAAGCACTTAGACGCGTATCTGATGTGATCAGGCTTGGTTTTTACGCCCAAAAAACTGATCTTATTTACGTTTTTAGGCATAAAACGCGGAAAAATACGTAAATACAACGTAAATACAGCCCCGTGCACGTAAGGACAGTACATACAGAGTTGGGGTGTCCGGAGAATGGCAGTAAGACGCCCTGGAATGGGTAAAAACGAACTTCTGTTCCATGTCCTCGTTGCCCTTGGTGAGGGCGAAATGGGCACTGTGTTCTGGAGATGGCGAAGGACCGACCATTGTACGCAACTTTCATCGTGTACCCTGGCTGTCCCAACGAGCCGCAAAAACGCATAAATAGCGGCAAAAATATCCCCTTTCGCAAATTTAAGTTTTTGCGCGTAAATGTAAAGGTGGAAACGTAAACGCAAACGTAGAAACCAATCCTGGACGTGATCTTCAATTTCCAAACACATTGGTTCCATGGATTAAAGAGAAACTCAGAGTTCCAGCATTTTGGCAACCAATTCCTAGCGGGGTTGATGAAGCGTCTGGGACGTTGCGGTTTCTGTTTGATAGAATTACGAAACAATGCAGCAGAAACACGTGAAGATAAATTATTCTTTTGCGATGTTTCGCATAGAAACCCACGGTGCCTTGGCAAGCCTCGACGAATCAGAGCGTTCTTGCTTCCAGTCAAACGGATCATTCACCTACGACTAGGTGGATTTGGGTCCATGGCTGGAAATACCATTGCCAACAATTCGCATCATTTACGCACAATCATGCCATTGCAATGATTTCCTGCCTGTATCACTGAACATCTTATTGGAATGTTTTTCGTCGTGTTTGCTACCGAAATGCTGCAACATGGAAATGTTCTGGATGACTAGATGCAAAGTATACGCCACTCACCTTGATCTCATCGTCGCCGCCATAAGGACGGTGTCTCACCTTCGGCACAACACAGTGTTTTCTTGTTAGTTTGTTGTCCAGATGTATGTGTTGCAATTTGTGTAACAACGGAAAGATCCCTATCCATTGGAAAAATGATTCTAAATGCGGTAACATTTTTGCGCTGTGAAAAGCCATAGGAACCAATATAAACGATACAATGGAGAATACAGCACGCTTGCCGAAAGCGATGAATACGCACTCCGAGTGAGTCCGCGGTAATTATGAAAACACACCACAGTATGATCCTACCAGAAAATCTTTATGATTTTATATACAATTTTCGAAAAAAACCAGTCACTTAATGTTGCTCAGCATATTCTCGGGTTGAAGTGAAACTGATTGATCAGCGTGCGGGAGTCCCGGTCTCGGCGCCACATCCCGCAATACATCCAACGTACTGCGATCCCAATCACT